TGCTCTGCAGTTTATATATATATATCGTTTGCGATTAGTAAATACATTTCGCATTTCGCTGTCTCAAGTCTTTCTTTAGCCGAACAATGTTTACCATCGACGACTTATGCACACCAAAAAACCGGTATGAACCCATGGGTTGAAGTGTGAGTAGACAGGTAAAAATACTAGCAAAAACTTGTGTTCAAAAGTTTAACAGAATCGAACTGCCAACCGGTCGATCCGGTTCCAACTGCCGGTCCTTTCTCTACAGAAAAAAGCTTCTGTCGAAATTTAGCCGAAATGTCTGAGCGAACCGGACCCTAAGGTGAAATTTTCAATAGAAGCATTTTCTGCACAGGGAGCACCGGCAATCATATGAATAGCACAATTCAACATGGCGATCACGAATATCATAATTAATTTTCTCCTGGTCACATACCTGATCTGACCATATGCTGTAAATACATAAATAGCTAGAGATTTATTCAATAATTCATACTCCTTTTCTCCATCAGAGCATTATATTCTTTATACTCATTCAAAAGCTATGTTACTAAACACTGATATTTGTATGTTTTGCTTAACTCTTTATTGTGTATTTAACAAAAAACCCAAAGTAAAATTTTGAAGAAACAAAAATCGAAAACTGCAGTGCCACACTACAAGAAATGGATACACTAGTATCAGTCACTGTTACAAAGTACAGAAGTACTCAACGTTGATTAAATCTTGAAACGTTCCACCTTTAAAGCGCTTCGCATCTTACTTGTATATGCGCAAACGTTACATCGTTACATTTTAGGAAAGAATGTCCATTGATCCTCTAAATTTCCTTCTTCCAACATTAACTTCAACTCTCTCGCTTAAGTTGTAAATTTTTTCCCGCACATGCCCGGGTTAAAGAATCCTACGGTAGGATCCTGTAGGATTCTTACCAGATTTTTGTAGGATCCTACAGGATTTCGCAGAATTTTATAGAATTCCTTAAAGCCAATATTTCCTACAGGATCCTATCATAGGAGTTTGTAAGATTTGCAGGATCCTACTATAGGATTTTGTAGGAAATATGGGCTTTAAGAAATTCTGTAGGATTGCATAGAATCTTGTAGGATCCTAGTAGGACTTTTTTGGGATGGTAGCAAAAGCTTTTAAAAACGTACCACCTTTTTGCACCACATTTTTTTATTTGAGGCATCAAGCCTCAACAGGACTGTAACGTAGACGCGCCTGCATCGCGTGTACAGTAGATATGATTTACTCTCTTAACAAATTCAGATAAAGAAAAAAAACTTTGTCTAACCTGTCTAGAAATTATCGAAGTAGCGACGATGCCAGTTAGTTTGCACATTTCAGAAGCAATAAGGTATTGTTAGCGGATGTACGATGAGTATGACGTATCTTCCTTTATTGAAGGTTGTGTATTTCTAGCAGAAAAAAAAATGTGCTACGTCATTTATGATCGTTAGTTCAATAATTATCAAAAGTTCATACTCGTCCTTAATGTCTCTCTTTTCTTCTATTATTGTGACGTACAATACAGTTCTATCGTGGAGCGTAAATTCGTCTTTTTCTTGATGTGGCATACAGAATCTATATGTGGAACATATGTGCATCTTGTCGTATGTGAGAAAAAGAATTAACGGTCTACGATAGAACTCTAATAAGAATCACAGTTTTTTTTCTCCCAGAAATACACAACGTTCAATAAAGGAAGACGTCATCCTCATCGTACATCCGCTAACAATACCCTATTGCTTCTGAAATGTGTCTTTGTCGAAATATTGTGTTTTTCGTAAATCTTGATTTTCTCAGCCATTTTTCAAGTGATAAGGGGAAATTCTAGATTCCAGGATAGAGGAGGCAATTCTCTATTCAACTATGTAAAAAGTTCTCAAAACTAATTTAGTTTGACTTAATTACAATGCTAAAAAAAGAGGCATGCTCAATTCTTTTGCATTCTTGCGTGTTCTCAAATATTGCAGTCAACCTATGTTTTGTTCCTATTAATGGCATTCAAATACATGCAGTTTTTTATACATGGAAATGTTCCTCAGATCACGAGGAATCGAATGGTACTATTTTTATTGAAAACAGATCAAGTTTTCACCTTCATCTGCACCACAGAGCAAACTGAATGACCTGCCATCAATAGGCAAGAGCCCTCATTTTGAACGATAAATTGAAAATTCTTTTGATTTATTCGATTCCTGAGACTATCAGCTATACAATGATGCAAAAATATTTCGAGAAAGTTTAAGAATAAGGACAGGAAATCACTACGCTGCTCGACTGTTTCTGTTCTAATTAAAAGCAATCACTCTAACTTTTTCATCTCTTTTATTTCCAGAGGCATTGAGCCCGCAAAAAAGCTTTCTACAGTGTTCGAACAGTTATTTCACCCACTGCAGATTTTTGAATCGCCAAAAAGTGCCAAGAGAGATACGGTAAGAAGTGCCAAGATACAAATACCAAGCAGTGCCGAGATGTGGTTAGATAGATAGAATGGAGATGACTTCAAACTCGAAGTGAATCAGAAAGAAAGCAAACACATGACAACGTATTTCTTCAATCTATTTATTTCATCTTTTTCTTTCTCCGTTCTATAGAATCGACCCGTAGGCACCCATTTTCTAAGAATTGCTAAGAAGTGAAAGAAAAGAAAAGACACCTTATTTGATACATCCCTATTCATTCGAAACGATGGGCAGTACAGAGAGAAAGAATAGTACGCAGCGTGATGCCTTTTAATAGTCAGTAAAAAATATACAGTGGAAAACTATACGTATATTCACATTGACGTGTACGTATTAATCAGATAATTAAATGGTTGAGATTCTGATTTCATAAATTTTTTTTCTTTTTCGTTTTGTAATGAATGGCCGCATTATTTTCTGCAACCCAATGGAATTTCACGTAGAGTGAACAAAGATTTTTCTCAGCTAAGAGATGAGATTTAGCGTAGCACTTTTATCCTCGGTATGCTGATAGAATTACTTCCACACACTAAGCCATTCAAAAACATGAGATGTACTCTTCAGGTAGTGTCAATCTTAATGAAATCGACTAATACCAATATTGTTTGTTGTAATATAATTTAGTAAAGCTAATAATAATCAGTGCGATGTTCAACATATGTTCAGAAGAACAAAACGAAAGGGCGAAAAGTCACTGAATAGTGGAAAGGAAAAAGGAAAAAATAGAAAGAAAAAAGAAATAAAGACATGTAATATATGAGGTAGGTTACGTCATATATTGCTATATAACTAGCCAAAAACTAGCAGCCATATTTTCTGAGTGTTACATAGTAACATGATGTCGGTAATGAAACTATCGATCAAACTTCACTTACATACCAAAAGAATCGGTAAGCAGCATAAAGCATGCCATATATGAAGTAACCTGTCTCATATATTACATGTCTTTATTTCTCTCTACTCAATGCCAACAGCGTTAATAGCAACGCTAAATATTTTGTGCGGCATCACACTAGATTATTTCAACAATAAAGGAATGACGATAATTCATTCAAGGAAATTAATAGATAAACAAACACGATAAGCACAGTTTCCGTCAAATCTGTAAGATGCTAGCAAACATGATTTTTTACGTCGACTCAATATGAGAGTGTCTTGTTTGAGTGAGCTATAGTCAGAATGGAAAGAAAAAATACAACGTTCGTTCTTTTTCATTGTTTTCGTTCTATTGTCCAGCTAATAGCTGGAAAAAAAAGATTGTGCACGTATATTCAGTGAATGTTTGCTAGAGCTCTAATTTATATATAGTCGTGTATTTTATTGTGAAATAGAGCTGATGATGATTACAGATCGTAATCGAAAGCTTCAATTTTTGAAAGAAAAGAGCAATGATTGTTGTGTGCATTATTAGCTTTAATGAAATCGATCTTTTCGATAATGCTTTAAAAATCGATACAGATTTTGATTTTCTATAATTTTCGATATTTTTTGATCTTCACAAACTTATTAGTGCTTGATTCAAAAGTCTTCTTTTCATCAGAATTCCTTGATTAATGACTATTATCGATACCATAATACAACACACTCGGTGGCTGTCTGAATAATTTTTAATAGGAAGGACGCGAAGACTTGAAGGTTTCGCCATTCCAACGAGGAGACTTAAGACATGTTCTCATAAGCACAATGATTCCGAAATAAAAGAAAGAGAAGAGATTTCTTTTAAGAAGATTTTCTCGGTGGGCGGTAGAAAACGAAGGCGTGACTTAAAAAGTTCACATACAAATCTATTAATTTTTCTGTCCATAAATAGTTCATAGCACCCTGTTCAAAATGGGGGGTGTCAGAATGTTAATTTTCTGTGGTGCGAGTATGGTATCGGATTTCGAGAAGGTCGCAGAATTCTTATCCGATGACTTGAGGTACTATTGAAAGTTGAAAACATTAATGTTGTATGCTAAGCGTGATTATGGGATCGAAATACTTGAAAAGCAATGGTTTCGTAGAAAGGATGTTTCAAGAAAAGCTTATTTTGATTTCTGGATTACAAAAACCAAGCTCGAAACCCGGGTTTTCGTCACACTTTCGTTTCAAGATAGCTTAAGATTTTATTTGAAAACAAACAGTGCCACCCGCGTCAGCGTGGTCGATTTTGTATGTTTTGTGCGATTCCCCTACTTTCTTAAAACATTTCAGAGTCATAACAGCTCATCTTTGTAACGTAGAAAATAAATTGTGCCTGATTTTGCTTGTATAGGTTAATTTTTTATGAAAACAAACAGTGCCACCCGCGTCAGCGTGGTCGATTGTGTATGTTTTGTGCGATTCCCCTACTTTCTTAAAACATTTCAAAGTCTAGTGTCAGCTATTGGAATAAAAATGAATCACTGATGAAAATGGACTTCTCCTAGTTTTTAAAATTTTATTCCGATCAACAACATTGATCAGTTTGCTACTATTACTGTCGAAAACACAGAATTTGCTAGAAAATTTAGTTGTTTTCCGTCTGCTATATCTACCCACACTCTATTACAAGATATATGAAAATTACCATACCGCTTCTGAGACTGAATCTGAACGAACTGGATAAAATGATTGTTGATCCATGGTTGTTATAGGTGTTTGTCTTATCATTGTCACCTGGTTGTTGTCAAATCTTTCTTTTTCTAGATGTGTATGATTTGAGCACTTTTCACATAGTTCGAGAGCATTATCTGGACTAATACAAACACATATACATGGTTCATAACATTTATCACATCGATAAGGTAATTTTGTTAATTCATGAATAATGCATATGGTACTAAACTTTGCCCGACGAACATTTGTGAATTCCCAATGATGCTGAGATGAAACATCCAGGAATAGTTCTCTGCTGGAGAAAAGTTGATAATCAACCTGCTCATTATCATCACGAGTTGTAGGTGAAGTGTTAACTGCGTCATTCAGATGGAGAAAGAAAAATTCCTAAATGAAAAGAAAGGCACAAAATAGTTTGTAGAGAAAAATTTGAAAACTAATATCACTATAACCGTTGCATTCACATAAAGATTTGTTTATCCAGTCAAGAAATAAGTATGAAGTGATGTATTAGGTTTGACAGGCCGTTATTATATTTTTTTTTTCGCTTCAGATTTCCAAAATGGTGATTATGTGCCGGCATATGTAACAAGTATCCTGTCAATTAACAGAACGTTCATCTTCTGCTTAACTTAAAAGTTTCCGATTTCCACTTGTTTAAACCCATTGTTTAACGGTGGTTGAATATGGCTTTCATTTTGTACAAAGAGATAGTAATAAATCGGACCTGCATCCAAAAGGTCTCAAAGCCAGCATCATTAGTTAAGGTCTTATTTTAAGTGCACAAATATATGCGATAATTCTGATGGTAAATAAGATCTGGTTCGTAGTTATGTTCTCTAGAACCAATATGACTGAACTTTACTTAAATGGTTGACAAACCTCTGCATGTTTTTGAAACAAATCTCTCAAATAAATCGATAGCGAAAGTTTCATCTCTTCATTTGTTTTTGCCGACTTTGCGTTGCTCATCGTTACTAAATAATTGAAAAAAGATTACTGAATCTTATTTCAAGAAAGGAAAGCATTTTACTTACTTAATTTTTCTTCAATAACTCCAGGCCAGTTGTCACCATCCATATAGGGCAGTTTTATCATTTCATCACCAATTTTATAGTCGCTGAGTATCTCTTCTTTGATATTCTAATCATAAAATTAAACATCAAATTAATGTAAGATAATTTTGTTAAAGGATTGGTTTTTAGTCGCGGAGGCGATTTTTACTATAGTATCTCATTTACTCGACACTCTAAAAGTTAACATTTATTGCATAAATTGAGTGTAACGAACGTATTGAGCGATGTTTTGGGGGTCATTCAACACAATACAACTTCTGTATTATATATTAAATTATATATATTGTAGTGACGTCATTGAATTTTGATAAAACTAAACTTACCTGAATCTTTTTGATTACACCTTCGCCGATGCCGTGTCTGAACAATTTCTTGTACCATTCTACTAGTTCAGATTGTGTTAGATTATGCTGATGCTTTGGATGTGTATTAAGAATATAATCATTCCCTTTCCCTGGTGGACTCGCCCATATATAAGCCTGTTTAAAACCTAACTCTTTCATATATTCAAGATAACCAATTAAAAGTTCAAAATATACGCGTCGTCGATATTCCTTCGGTTTGAAATACTGTACTGTATCCAGATACGCTATCATCAATCGGCTGCAAAAAGATATAACAATCATACAGCAAAATTCACGAGCTATCACGTATGAAAATAAACATTCAGTTACAAAGACAAGTAACATTTATCATTGGTTTGTTCGGTCCTTAATCGAAAGAACCTGAATCTAGCGGTTAATCTTGATCCTTTTCAGATTCATCATAGTCTATCACCTCTATACTGGAAGTTTCATGCCTCTATGTCTTTCCTGAATCAGTAATAAGGTCTTTTTCTCTTATGGACAGACACTTATAAGCCTTTCTGGGGCAGTCAAGAGAGTAACTCATTATAGAGTATGTCATTTTCTAAAAACATATTCGTATTAGTTTTTATGCTTAATGTCGAACATTATAAAATAGAAGTAACATGAAGCTCCGTTACGTCTTAATTCGGGCATGAAGTTATAAATTAGAGTGATAGTTTTCCTGTTTTGAATAAGAACTGTTACAAGCCTTTTACCTCTCATTAGGACCGCATGTTTCATTATATTCTTGAACATAACATGAAAATAACAATACGTCAACATTTTCGATTTCTTGGAACAATAATATCACACGCATTTTATATTGATAATAATCAGGTAGACTTGATCCATAGAGTTGTTTCAGTCGTGGCTTCACATCAAATCGACGGTACCCTGAATATACCACTTTAACGTTCACACTTCCAAAAATTTTCCGATAGTCATCTGATTGCGTTTCATGATCAAGATATTTGTCGATTCGTTGTTGCAAGGAAGATTTTATGAAATATGCAAATCCCA